TCCTAGGGAGTAGTAACTCTGACTCTGACCTTTTCTCCCGCCTGGCTCAAATTCTTCAAAATGGATCTCAAAAACCCCGGAGCACTACTCAGTGCAAGAGTCCAGGATCTCCTCACAATCCAAAAACACCACCCAAGAGTCCAGTTGTCCCTCGTAGGAGTCCCAGTGCCTCTCCTCGAAGCTCATCCTTGCCTCGCACGTCTAGTTCCTCACCGTCTAGGGCTGGACGGCCCCACCATGACCAGAGGAGTTCATCCCCACATCTGGGGAGAAGCAAGTCACCTCCTAGCCACTCAGGATCCTCCTCCTCTAGGAGGTCCTGCCAACAGGAGCATTGCAAACCCAGCAAGAATGGCCTGAAAGGATCCGGCAGCCTCCACCACCACTCGGCCAGCACTAAAACCCCTCCAGGAAAGAGTAAGCCAGCCAGTAAACTCAGCAGATAGGAGCCAAGCTGCATCTCTTGGAAAGGTGTGAGATCTTCCTCCTAAACCTGATGCATGTATGTCTCTGTACTGTCTATTTAAAAAAACCAGTGTTGATCTTTTGCAAAAGAAAGTAACACGATCAGTTATTTATAAGAAGACATAAATATATGGAATGACCTAAGGCAGGCAGCAAGCAGATCAAGAATCAATGCCTTTGTATGGAAGGGACAATCCAGCAAAGTCTAAGGGGGAGGAAACTCATTAAATGAGCTCACATTTTATAGCTGTCTTTGAAACAAGAGTTGAGAGGAGACAGAATGGAATTTTAAGGGGTTTCACCTAATTTTTTAAGCTTCTGCTCAAAGATTATATAGCAGAAGTGAAACTTCTTGTTGATATTTTCATTCAAAATTTCCTAACCTAAGAGAGTCATTACTCGGATACTACAGTATGCAGGAAGCCTGTTGCCAGGGAAGCACACTCCTGAATATTTGGCTTGTGTGTCTTTTTAGTGTGTGAGAATCCACACCTTTACTTTGCCTCATTCCTGATACCCTCCTTGGATTTCACATTTTTTTAAAAAAGCTAGTGCTTCTCTCCTGACCCAGATTTGCTTATTTTAACAGTGCATCCCAATAGGGATTTAGCACACATGCTGATAATTTCAAATCTATTTACCTTTTTTAGTCCCCCAGTATCTTTCATTGGCACAACAGTTATTTACCCAGTACACCTTTATTGTGAAAAATAACTGAGAAACTTAGGTAAAGGAAAGAAAAGTTTAACTAGAACTACTTTGCAGGCTTTAGGGTTTGGAGAGAGAGGGATCAAGAGTCAGGTGACAATCCTTCAAGATAGAGGGGCCCTCTTTCTCCCTGAACAGTTTCCTCCCTGTGGAAGGAAAAGTGACCAGAGCAGACTGCTTCCTTCAGTCTCCCAGGTACCAGCTATTTCTACTACCAACCTCTAAGGATAACAGGGAAGCACATGCTTTGGAATGTGACTTTATGCTTTTAGAGATTTAGAAAGGAAAATAAAAAGAAATTAAGTATGTTATTGAGGTTTATAATCCTTGTACTTTGTATTTTATACATTTCACCAATAAGGAATGAGTATCTGGGGAAATAAATGTAGGCTAAATATTTTTTCTTTTAATGTTTTATTACCTGCTTCTCCTTTGCTTTTGTTCAGTAGTTGGGCTTCTTGGCCTGATTTCCATGTAATCTCAAGTTATGAAGCTATAAGGAGAATCATATTTATTCTAATGTCACTCTTCTGCTAATAGAAATCAGGCAAAATTAAAGCATACTAGACTTTTAAAATGGGCTCCTTTCTGCTCTCTAGGTGTTTGTGTTGTACAGACCTTATTAAGGTCAGGTAAATTGGCCTGCTTGCTGTTGAAATTTGCCTTCTAGCAAACATCTGTGCTTTTCTTTGACCTTGTCTTTGCTGCCAAACCTACTATGGTTGAATTGGAAAACAAAAAAAAGGAAGAAATTATTTCCTCACCATGTGAACCTATTCTAATGCTGCATCAAAGCTGCCCTGAAGCTGCACTGAACTATCCTTGTTCTCTTTATCTGTGTTAACTTTTTAAAAAATAAACTACAAACACTATTGAGGCATATAAGGTCTCTCATCAGAAACATAGCTTAATGTGGAATCTTAAATTCTCTCCAGTTTCAAGCACTACAGAGGAATGCAATAGATAAGACATATTTGCTGTTTATCTAAAGCAACTGTAATATTGAAAGACCAATCCTTCTGTATTATATTGTATAATAGCTGCTGTAACACTACTTGCATGTCTTCATGGTAAATTATATAAATATTTATAAATATAGAGAGACATATGCTTATATAAACTCATTATTTCTCATTCTCCATTTGTAATTTCAAGACCACAGATGGTGAAATTCCTTTTCTATTGTGTGCCTCGTGTACACTTGGGCCTTGCCTATCTTCATTTTCTAAAAATATTCTTGGCATATGACACCTCAAATTCTTCTTGCCGTCCCTGTGCATAGTGCAAGGGTTGGCAGACTCTAACAAGCCAAGATGGGTTAAATTTCATTTAAAAAAGATTTGACTAGGGTGAAGAATCCCTGGAATATGCTTGTAATACTGGTTCAAAGATCCATCATGTTATCACGTTGTTCTATCTTTAAGGCTAGAGTGGGTGAACTGGGATATAATCATGGGTCTTGACATAAATTGATTTTTTTAAACTTTTCTTTTTAAAAATGCCATCTTACTCTCCTGTTTCACCTCACTTTTATCTTGTTGGGGGGTGGGATTGGGAACTAATTAAGAAATTATCTTTTTTCTGTGGTCATAGCTTAATTGTGCTAAATGTAGCTGCTTTAAATTGTGACTCCTCTGGGCAGAAACGTGCCTAGTAGTAACCACTGGAAAAGCTGATGAAGCTGTTAGTGTGGAATGTGTTTATTTCTAATGGGTATTTTTCTGCAGACAGTGATGACAACATGGCAATGAATGTTTCCTCTCCTTTCCATTTTTCTTCCCACCCTTTCACTGTGTTGTTCCCTTATTGAATTGCACTGACAAACTCATGAAGATCCAGAGACAAACCACCTCATTGTGTAAGAATATTTTATTTTGCATGTAGAGGAAAGAGTTAACCAAAGATGTTTCTGCTCTGATAGTTTCAAAAGAAACAAATTATATCTATATATCAGTATATCCCCTTAACGATACTATCCTGTATAGGGATTTACTTTATGGTTTTTAAAAGCATTGTTAGTGCTTTTCAGTGTTGGCTGTCTCTCAGGCTAAAAATATAAGTCAGCAGCCCTAAGCAAGCACTTTTGACCCTTGGATTTTTGTTTTTATCCTAAAGTATGATACAAAGACTGAGGTATTTAATTTTTGTTTTAGTTCTTTATTTTTGTTTCTTTTTTAGTGATGGCATATTTCAGATTACAGTGACATAGATCATCCAGATAATTTTAAATGGGTTTGGTTATTTTACCTAAGATGAGGGATATAGCCAAAATTAAACCAAATTATAATAAAAGTAGCATGGGGCAAAATGAAGATTATGTTTTGAAGATCAAAGTACCTCCTGGTTTCTCCTGTCACTACAGAATGGCAGCTTACCTCATCACATTCACCTCTGCCCTGTCTTGTCCAGTCCCTGCAATTACTTGGAGTGGAAGGCAGAATTAACAACAGCTGAGTTCCGTTAGCTAGTGCTTCTCCTGATGTATGCTGCCAAATCTCCAGAGTCTATCAACTGGGTGAAATATTAAAATCCCACATAGTAACCTCTTTTACACTTTAATGTATGGTGAACAAAAAAAGAAAATTGGGTCATATCAAATTTAACCTTACAACAGATTATAAGTATCTTTGAATATAAAGCCTTAGGCAGGCAGGCACTCTCATTCTCAACTCTCTTATGCAAGCTGGCCTTGCTGACAGTGGCATTGTTACATATCCTGGTTTTTAAGTTGCATGTTATGAAGTGAATGTTTTTTTGTAAAAGTTGCCAAGTTATTCAAGTCCTAAATAAGTAGCAAAATTGAGACCCACTATAGTCATTATCTACTTTACATTATTTTCTTAAAAATACTAAATAACTCTCCGTTGCTGACTACTCAGTGTTCTAGGTGGGCAGTATCTATGCTGAGCTCCTCGCCGCTATGGGAACTCGGGGTCCAGAGTAGTCATCAGAGGTTCCTTCCAGGCCACAGATTTTTATGCTAGTCTGTGTATGGTTGCCGTCAGTCCACAAGGAAAAAGTGTACATTGGTGCATGTTTTATAAACCCAGACACAGATAGTTAAAACCATAATTAGTTTTTCTATACCAAATAAGCTTTGAATTAAAAACAGATGCTTTTATTCCCCCAAGAACAGATGATCCTGTGTTCCTAATTAACATTAGGAACTGGTGATAGGAGAACCAGGATCTAGAATTCAGAACTTCAGAGGCTTAGGGAAAAAATGCATCTTACCCTGGCTATTTGAAAATATATTTGTAGATAAGTCTAGATTTAGCCTTGGAGAGCAAAGTTTTTCATATTTTAAAAACTTCATTCTTTTATCTCTCTCTCAAAACATGGCATATCTTAGTGAACCATTTTTTCTGTCATGTCAATTTTGAAATTAAGTTGTTTGTGTTCACCCTTTTAAAATCTTATTTCTGTTGTGTGCATTTACCATAGATGTGTGGGGATTTTGCCTAAGGGGAGGAATGTGTTAACATCTGTATTACGTAGGCGACAGTGGTTGACAACTTTCTTGAGTTTGGTGCTAAAGACAGTGTATTGGCAGAAAAACTGCTTATCTCCATGACTTAACACAAAAAGCATTACAGATTAAGGCATGTAACTACTATGATCATCCTTACATGTCAACATATACTGAAGTGTAGAAACCACAGGTGCATATTTATTAATACCATAACTTGGAAACTAGAGGCAGTTCTAGTCTTCAGACCATATACGAGGGTGGAATGCATGGAAAATCCCAGGTCCTCATCCAGTAATACCTGGGTGTGTTCCTTGAAGATGTGGAAGTAGGGCAGAAACTCCTGTCATTGGGAATCTTTTTTTTTTTTTTTAAGATTTATCTTATTTATTTGAAAGACAGAGCTACAGACAGAGGTAGAGACAGAGAGAGGTCTTCCATCCGCTGGTTCACTCCCCAGATGGCCGCAACGGCCAGAGCTACGCCAATCCGAAGCCAGGAGCCAGGAGCTTCTTCCAGGTCCTCCATGCGGGTTCAGGGGCCCAAGGACTTGGGCCATCTTCCACTACTTTCCCAGGCCACAGCAGAGAGCTGGATCAGAAGAGGAGCAGCCGGGACTAGAACTGGCACCCATATGGGATGCCAGCGCTTCAGGCCAGGGCTTTAACCTGCTGTGCCACAGTGCTGGTCCCCATTGGGGATCCTTAATATTGTGGCCATCCATCTGAAATTAGGAGAAATTTAAGCCAAATAATCTCAGGAACTTTCAAAATCTGTTGTCCAACACTGCCAGGGAGAACTGCAGGAGATATCTGGGAAATCTGTAGTTCTTAAGGTAGATCCAGGACATGGGACAAAGATCTCTCCCTGTACAGGGGAATTTGGATGCTGCACACTTTGCTCCCTGAGTAATCCCTGGCTGGACATGGAAAGATGACCTTAAAGTCTTGACCCATCAATACATTTTTCCACTTCTGTTCCTGCCTTCAAAATAGGTAAGCTTAAAGTTCAGTTATTTCCCTGGAACAAATTTGGATCTATGTGACAAGATCAGGATCAAGGATCAGGTAGAGATTTAATACAATCTCAAAACTGATAATAAAAATTTTTACTTTGTAATGATTCTATTATTTCTTTAGACTTTGCTAGATCCTGGTCTTGAGGAGCCATGGAAAAGAAGTGAAGTCTTTCCTTTCATTGCCCTGTGCACCTTAACAGGTTCCTGCCTCCTCTTTAATTGAAAGTGATAGTGAGGGCTCTGTGTACACTGATGATGCTGACCTGTGTTCCAGATACTCAGGGCCAGGGCTCCTGGGTCCCTTGTCCTAGACAGCAGCATTGGATGAGGCAGATCTTTGAGCCCATGTGACTATCAAATTCGCAAACAACATAATTTTACACAAATGGTGGATAGGAACTTTGTCTTTTAAATAGTTTAATATTGTTTCATATTGTGTACATAAGTGTTCACTTACCTAAAACTGAGTAAACTAAGTTTTAATATACATTAGCTCTGCCAGATGTTTTTTCCCCCTCTTACAATTGTTTAAATCCTTAAAAATTCATGAACAGCACACTGTACCTGGACTCACCTAAAAGGAATAAACAAGTCTACCACAGCTTGTTTGTGGTTGACCTTAGGGAGCTACCCAGGGAGGGGAAAGCATTGGGACTTTCATCTCAATCTTCTTTTTAAACTGTTCATCAGATAAATTAGCTCACCAAGATAAAAAGCTTTTAGAAATACAAAGATAAGAAGATAAAAGAAATGACAGCAGTGGGCCACTTCAGGCTTTGGATGTGGGGACTGAGTAAAGAGATCAGATGACTAAGGCTTGAGCCTCCCTTGCTTCTCCCTGATCCCCAGCCCTGGTCTTCCCTCTGGCTCCTTTCCTAAAATAGCCAGCGCCTATTTCATTGGGTTATTAGAAGTTCCCAGCTGTCAGGAAAAAAGAGGAAGGTGAGGGGGAATCAGTTTTGAAGTAAATATAAATCTTGAAAGTTAAAAGCTTTGGGCAGCTGTTAAATCAGATTCAACCATAAACTGAAAGAATTCTTTCGTTAAAAAAAAACAATTAGAGGACTTTCATACTTCCACTTTTCTCTCTCTCCATGAGAGAGGTGAGAAACTGCTGAAATACCTCCAAAGCTGTGTCCCTTTCCCTCCAGGCAGCTCCCTTCGGGCGATTTTGCTCAGGCGACCAAGGACTCAGAGTATTGGCAGAAACATGGAGTGCTTTTGTATAGGCCATCTGTACATAAAAATGTAATTATTTATTTAATTTTCCCATTTGTATCATATTAAAGCTTTGTACAGTGTTTTAAGTTCTGTTTTAAAATTATTTTGTATTTTATTTTTATAATCTAGTAATAAAATATTCATTCCGCATGCAAACTCTAGTTCTATTTGTGTGGTGGTTTGGATTTCAAAAGTGGGATCTGTTTTTTAAATTTAATAAAGTTACTGAATGCACCAGTAGTTACAAGAGCCACTGGGAGCAGAAAGTATTACTGTCAGTGCAGTACATCCAAAAGTGACCTGGAAGAAGCAGCCTGGAAATTAGGTCTCCATACAGGTGAAAACCAAGGTTCAGGGCCATGAGACGATTCCCCGGAAATACAGTTAAAAGTGTTGAAAAGCTCCCTCTGGCTGGAGGTCCTTGTTTCCAGCAGGAAGCACCAGTGGAGGGGGCGCCGCTCCCCGCACCTCCTGTCCTGCTTGAAACCCGCCCTGGCAGCAGGAGCACAGGCGGCCTTGCCGGGCACTGCCTCCCTCCTCCAGGTTTGACAGGACCTGGACGTCCGCGCCATCTCTTGCTGAGCCTGGATCCCCTTTCCTGACCTGTCGCTCAGCAGCGACACCCAAAACGCTGTCTCTGGGGTTCTTTTTGGAAAATAGAGGTTAAGAAGTCACTCGCGCTCCCGGGAGCTAGCCATGAACGTGCGAAACGACATCTCAACAGCAGGGTAGCTGAAATGTTCACCTCGCGCCACCGGTCATCGCGGCGGGAGGGCACGGCGGTCGCCACACGCCTGCCCAAGGACTTGCAAGAAAGTTCAAAGGGAGAGTCTAGATTAACTTCCTCACTCAGGGTGGCGGCGGTAGAATCTAGCAAACCGTGAACTCTTCACGAATATGCCCATTACAAAAAGATGTGGGCCGGCGTGTTCACCTTGACCGTCCGGCCACTCCCCCGGGCCCTGGCTTTTCCCCGCCTTGCGCCGGTCCCACGGCGGCCCCGCTCCCCGCTCGAGTCCGGGTGAGTCGTCCCTCGGGGCCTGCTCAGCCAGGGAAGCCGGCGCAGGGCCTCACTCCCAGGCGGTGCGGCCGCACTTCCGAGACGGCCGGCCGGTGCGGCCGGAGCAAACCGCGGACCCAGCGAGGCCTTGACGGAGCCAGAGGCCCCGCCCCGCCCCGCCCCGCCCCGCCCCGCGGCCCAACGGTCGCTCCCGCTGCCGGCCCCGCCCCTCCCGGGGAGCCCGCGGCGCGCCGGCGCCTGCGCAGTCGGCCCAGAGCGCCCCTACCGGGATGGCGGCGGTTTTGGAGTCGCTGCTGCGAGAGGAGGTGTCGGTCGCAGCGGCCGTGCGGTGGATCGCGCGCAGAACCCAGAGTTCCGAGGTAACAGCGCCGGCCCGCCCCCAGGCCTGAGCGGAACCCGCTTCTCGCGGGAGGCGCCAGCCCGCTCCGGTCCCAGTCCTCCAGGGCGCCTGGCTGCCAGCCCGGGCCGAGTGCGCTCCGGATGGGCGCCGCTGCCCGGGCGGCCCCGCCGCTCGCCACCCCGGGCTGGCCGCCGACCCTCTTGCTCCTCCACGTCTCCTTCTCCCTCAGGATAGCCCCGGGGAGGCGGCCGTGCTGCGCTCACTCCGGCCGCTGCGGAAGGAATTCGTGCCGTTCCTGCTGAACTTCCTGAGGGAGCAGAGCTGCCGCGTCCTCCCGCAGGGCCCCCCAACCCCCGCCAAGGCCCCGGGCGCCTCGGCGACCTTGCCGGGGAGGCCGGGGGGCCCGCCGCGGGGCGGCCGCGGGGCGCGCAGCCAGCTCTTCCCTCCGCCGGAGCCCCCGAGCCCCGCGGCCGAGGCCCCTCTGGCCCGCCGCGGGGGCAGGAGGCGGGGCCCGGCGCCGGCCCGCGAGCGAGGAAGCCGCGGCCCCGGGGGCCCGGAGGAGGGGGTCGGCGGGGAGAGCCTGCCCTGGGCCGGGGCCCGGAGGCTCCGGGGCTCTGGCAGCCCCAGCAGTCCCAGCCTCGCGCTCTGTGATCCACCAAACCTCAGCAACCTGGAGGAGTTCCCTCCCGTAGGCTCGGTTCCCCCCGGCCCTGCAGGGTGAGAATCCGCCCTCGCCCAGGAGATGGGTGGCACGGAGGCTCCGCTGGGGGAGTCGGTGCCTCGGGGCTGGGGGTGAGGTAACGTAACGGTGAGGGGGTCTTGGCAAGGGGCCCAGGAGCTGTGCTGATGGAGGGGAGGTGCTTGAGGATGAGAGTTTGAGAAAATCCTGTGGCTGCTCTCAGCAGGACGAAGCCTTCACGCAGGATCAACCCAACTCCGGTGAGCGAAGAGCGGTCACTCTCCAAGCCCAAGACTTGCTTCACCTCACCCCCAATCAGCTGTGTCCCCAGTTCCCAACCCTCAGCCCTGGACACTAGCCCTTGGGGCCTTGGCCTTCCCCCAGGGTGCAGAAGTCTGCAAGAGGAGCGGGAGATGCTCAGGAAGGAGCGGTATGGCCTTGCCGCTCTCTGGGGGTGGCGGCTTCCTCCCCGCGGGGGAGCTGCAGGGCTCTCCCTGAACCTGATCTCCCCCTCGGGAACTCTGGGATTGTCTCCCCTGGAGGGACCTGAGTGTGCTTGTGACCAGGAAGCCAGGCTGAGCGCTCATGACAGTCTCTCCCCATAGTTCCAAGCAGCTGCAGCAGTCACCTACCCCTTCCTGTCCCACCCCGGAGTCGGGGTCTCCTCTCCCCAGCCGGACGGGGAGCCTCACAGATGAAGCTGCTGACCCTGCCAGAGTGTCTTCCCGCCAACGCCTGGAGTTGGTAGCCCTTGTGTACTCTTCCTGCATTGCTGGTGAGGAAGGGAGAGCACAGTGTGGGGCTAGCAGGGGGCTTCAGAAAGTTCATGGGAAATGGAGTTAATTAAAAGATGACCTTTGTTTTGATGCAGATGTTGAAATCACACATCATTTTTCACATTATACATTTAGAGTCCATGCATCATTCTTTTATAATACCTGTTTTAAACTTTTTGAAGACCCTTACGGCGCGGCAGGTTAAGGGAACTGATGAAGTTGCAGAACTGAGTGGGCTCCAGATGGTGCCCGCTATCATGGGGTTTCTTTTTATATCCAGAGAACCTGGTACCAAACCTGTTCTTGGAGCTTTTCTTCGTCCTTCAGCTCCTCACTGCCCGGAGGATGGTGGCTGCCAAGGACAGTGACCTTGAACCAGGTCCAGGTGTCCTAGGTAAGTGAGCAAACTTCCTTTTGAGAAGGGAGGTCTGGCGATGGGCGCTTCAGAGCTGACGGCACGGTGCTGTCTTTCCAGAGTCCGTGGGGAGCCCCCTGTTCCAGAGCATCCACGACTGCGTCTTCTTCGCCGTGCGGGTGTTGGAGCGTCAGTTTCCGTGAGTCTGCCTGGCTGGGGCCTGTGGGCCTCTGCCTCGTGGTCTGCCCTGTGCTCTGGCCGCTTGCACAGCGGCCCCGGTTCTTTCCCTATCGGTAATCTTTGTGTCAAGGCTATGATTTTAACCTCTGAAAGAGCCCAGTCGACCCCTGTGGTCTTGGCGACTGGCCTTGCTGTCTAGGGCTGCTATCCCTGTCCTGTCCTCCTGCTTTGTCAGGTCTCATTCCTTCCCCTTTGACCGCCATCATCCTTGGTTCTTGCCCTGTGATCTTTCTGTACATGTCTGGGCTCCGCACATCCTGGCTCCAGTCTCCAGATGCGCTCGCTCTGTGTGCTGCCCAGGCAGCCGCTCCCTGCGTGCAGTCTGTGTCCCAGTCTCAGCTGTGTGTGCTCCTGTCCCCGCAGGGTTCTTTCCTACCTGGACAAAGGGACCTTGAAGCTGCTGGCGGAGAATGAGCGGCTGCTGTGCTTCTCACCAGCCCTGCAAGGCCGCCTTCGAGCTGCCTATGAGGGCAGTGTTGCCAAGGTAGTGGCCCCAGCGCAGGTGCCTGCTAGCCTGGACCTGACCCTTGCGAGCTTCCATAAATTCAAGCAGCCCCTGCTCACAGTACTTAAGCGTCATGTGTGCTGACTGTGGGGGAGGTCAGGGGTGAAGTTTTCTGAGTGTGCCTCCTGTAGGCTTTAGATCCTAATGTTACCGCCATGTTTCAGGTGTCTCTGGTGATGCTACCCTCTGCTCAAGCTGTCTCCTTTCAGCCGGAAACTGACAATCGTGCCAACTTCTCCAGTGACCGAGCCTTTCATACTTTCAAAAAGCAGAGGTGATGGGAAAGGGGAACTCTGGGAGGGAGTAGGTGGCAGTCTCTCTGGAATAGGCAGTTGTTTTGTTGTCACAGAAACTGGGAGTTTGGCACTGACCAGTGGGTTGGTACCACCAGGCCCTTCCTCGCCATCCCAAGGGCCAGTTGACCTTATTCTGTTTTGTGCCCGTGGACTTGAATCCCTGAGCCTAGCAGGCCCTCTTAAGGGTCTTTAATCTCAGGGTTCCTGGGCAGGATTACCTCTCAGTGTGCACAGAAGGGTGTGAGCCTGTGGTGTGCTGTGCTGGGTCTGTGACATTGTCATCCTATAAGGGACTTTGAGGTTAAGAGATGGGACTGGGCAGAGTCCTGCCCTCAGTGTTCCACGTGAGAAGAGTGAGGTAGCAGCAGCCATGCCTCAGCTGATCAGGATTCTTGTGTGTCTGTCAGGGATGTGTTTTATGAGGTGCTTCGAGAATGGGAAGATCACCACGAGGAGCCCGGCTGGGACTTTGAGAAGGGCCTGGGTAGCAGGATCAGGTGGGTGCTCCGCCGCTGGTCACCGGGTCTTTCCTCTCCTGCCAGTGGGCGCTCCGTGACATGTGGGGAGATGATGGCAGGAGGCTTTGCGGTCCTCCCCACCTCCTCACCTCCAGCACCAACAGCCCTGCCTCCGCTCTGGAGGGGTGTGTCTCCCAGCTCCTTCTGCTTGTTTGCTAATGGCAGGCCCTCGGAAAAGAACAAAGCTTGTAATCCAAGTTGCTTGTTTTGACCCAAATCACTGGACAGACCCTCCAGCCTTTGTTTTCTGCGTCGTCTAGTTTGGGCCGCCCTGATGCTGGGTCTGGGTAGATGAGCAGGCGGCAGAGTGGGTTTCCTATCTGGAAGCTCACTGGTTCTTGGCGACCACTGCAGAGTTACTGGGGGCAGCGATGGCTTGCTGGGTTTGGTTTGTCTCTAGCCTCGCAGACCCTGGGTTCTGAGGGCAGTGCCCCTCTCCTTGCCCATACCCCTGGGCAGGCCCGCTGTGGCAGGTGAAGGCTGAAGAGCCCAGGGGCTGGCCTGTTCTCAGCAGTCTCCCCGCCTCCCTCTTGTACACTCTTCCTGACTCTTCCTCCCTAGAGCCATGATGGGCCAGCTCTCGGCAGCCTGCAGCCACAGCCACTTTGTTCGACTTTTCCAAAAACAGCTTCTCCAGGTAACAGCGCCTTGGCCCGCACCATCTCCCCACCCTTTTCCTTGGTGTGGTAGGAAGGGCCCAGGTTAAGAGGCCTGGTTTCACATCCCAGCTCTCGTAGCCCCTAGGCAAATCCTTTCAGCTTAGTTTGTTCCCTTACCTCTGAAACAAGAGTGTAAGCCCTCCCTCAATGCTGCCTCAGGCGCTGACAGAGTAGGCGTTCTGTAGATGTTCATCTCTCATTTTGTTCGGTCTGTCTCCCATGCACTGTTTTTGGTTTCGCTCCTCTCTCGCCCTGCCCAGATGTGTCAGAGCCCAGGTGGTGCTGGGGGCACTGTGTTGGGCGAAGCTCCAGATGTGCTCAGTATGCTGGGAGCTGACAAGCTGGGGCGGTTGCGGCGTCTACAGGAGCGACTTGTGGCCCCTCAGAGCAGTGGGGGGCCCTGCCCACCCCCCACCTTCCCGGGCTGTCAAGGCTTCTTCAGAGACTTCATCCTGAGCGCCAGCAGGTAGAGGTGCCCCACCTTTTGCAGGGCAGGAAGCAGAGATCCCTAGACTCTGCCCCTCCATTTCACTTCCCATTCTCTCCCTGGCGTGGGTGATCCCACTTCTCAGCCTCCCATCTCCCCCATTAATCCTTCCTGCCAGGGCACCTCTCAGTGCTGATCTGCCTGAACCTCTTCCACTGCCTTTTTATTTCTTCTTTTTTTCTTCTTGCTCTCCCCTCCCGTCCAGCTTCCAGTTTAATCAGCATCTTATGGATAGCCTGAGCTTGAAGATCAGAGAGCTCAACGGCCTCACCCTGCCTCCGCATGAGCCTAATGATGACGAAGGGGAGGCAGATGTCGACTGGCAGGTGAGGAAGCGGAACGCGGGCAGTGCGGGGTCTGGCCTCAAAGCAGAGGAGTGTGTTCCAAGGACGCTTGGTGACAGGCTTGGAATTGCTCTAGAAGCCTTGCGCGTAGGACCTGTTATTTCCCTTCATTCCATACAGGGTGAACGGAGACAGTTTGCTATGGTGCTGCTCAGCCTGAGGCTTTTGGCCAAATTCCTGGGCTTTGTGGCTTTCCTGCCATATCGCGGGCCTGAACCACCCCCAACCCGTGAGCTTCAGGACTCCATCCTGGCCCTCAGGAGCCAGGTGAATGGGTGGGAGATCCTGGCAGAGGGAGCCGGGAGGGCCAGTCGGCTCGGGCGCTGGCTGCTTTCCTGGGCTGTTCTGGAAACCAGGCGGCCTAGAAGGCACTGCCCGGCCCCGCCAGGTGCCCGCCCTCTGACCAGCCCTCCTCTCCCAGGTCCCACCGGTCCTGGATGTGCGGACCCTGCTGTGGCAGGGGCTGCGGGCCCGCCGGGCTGTGCTCACCGTGCCCTGGCTGGTGGAGTTCCTGTCCTTTGCTGACCACATCGTGCCCCTGCTGGACTACTACCGCAGCATCTTTAGTCTCCTGCTGCACCTGCACCGGTGAGTGGAGAAGGGCTGTGGCCCTTCACAGCCATCACCCGGAGGGACAGACAGTGGGCAGTCGTTTGCCCTTTCCTTTTTCCTCTGTGGCCCAGCAGAGAAGGAATCTGGGTGTTGGGGGGGAGGACGAGGAGAGCAAGGAGATGCCAGCTGCCCACACAGAAGCAGCCCCTCTTAGGTCTGCCGCTGGGGACATCCTCCAGTGAGACCGTTCACACCTTCCACTCGCCCCGCAGGAGCTTGGTCTTGGCGCAGGAGCGTGAAGGGGAGATGTGTTTCCTGAACAAGCTGCTGCTGCTCGCTGTCCTGGGCTGGCTTTTCCAGGTGAGCCGGGGGAGGAGGGGGAAGCTGGGAGTGCAGACCTCTGAGTTAGCGCTGCAGCGACCAGAAGATGCGAGTTGACAAGAGGGCCAGGGTGCGCCGTCGCTTCAGAGGAGGTTGCTCTGAACCGGCCGCCTAAAGCAGGCAGAGTGGAGGCTGCGCATCCCCGCGGTGCCGCCTGCAGCTCGGATGGCCTCCTCTCTGCCAGATTCCCACGGTCCCAGAGGACTTGTTCTTTTCGGAAGAGGATCAGTCAGATGGCTTCCAGGTGGACGCAGTGTCCTCAGAATATGGCTTGGTGAGTGTGGGGTCCAGCCAGAGTCCCGGGAAGTCCAAGAAGTAAAGAAAGTGGGCTGTCCAGGAGGACCCAGCCAGGACGGGCAGGATGGGCTTACCCTGTATCAGCTCCTCCTGACGGGCCGCTTCTGGGCCTGCTGGGGGGACAGGAAGCCCGCCTGCCTGCCTACACTGGCCTGTTCTCCCCCAGGACAGTGTGCCTGTGGTGGACCAGCAGCTGCTCTACACCTGCTGCCCCTACATTGGTGAGCGTCCCGCGCCCTCCCCCAGCACCCATGGTCCCGTCCCTGCCCGCAGACCCAAAAGGGCCCCCTTGGCCTAGCTCCCGGATGTCTCGTGCTGTTTTGAGGCACTCCCCCAGTGCCTCAGCTTCAAGTTCAGGATGCCTGGAGATGGGAGGGGTTTCTGGGACTAGGAACTTGGACTTCCCTGCTGCAGGTGAACTCCGGAAGCTGCTCGCTTCGTGGGTTTCAGGCAGCAGTGGGCGGAGCGGGGGTTTCGTCAGGAAAATCACTCCCACCACCACCACCGGCCTGGGAGCCCAGCCTCCCCAGACCAGCCAGGGGCTGCAGGTAAGGCTGGGCAGAGGACAGGGCCAGCCCTGGGGACGGCCAAAGGGAGCCCTCACCACACTGCTCCTCTGTCCCGCAGGCGCAGCTCGCCCAGGCCTTTTTCCACAACCAGCCGCCCTCCCTGCGCAGGACTGTGGAGTTTGTGGCAGAGAGAATCGGATCAAACTGCGTCAAGCATATCAAGTAAGAATGGGGTGAGGGTCCCCGTCTGTCCCCTCACCGGCGTTCCCTTTGCAACACCCTGCTGCCAAGCTGAGGAAGGGTGGGGCGGGGGCGGGGCAAGGCTGGAACTGCGGACCTCTGTGAAGGAAGCGCCCTTGACTTTGCAGCCTCTTTCCCATTCAGCCCCTCCAGCTACTCCCAAACCTTGCTGTCCCTGCTGCAGGGCCACGCTGGTGGCAGATCTCGTGCGACAGGCAGAGGCACTTCTCCAGGAGCAGCTGGTGGCGCAGGGCCAGGAAGGGGGCGAAGCAGCCCAGTTGGTGGAGAGCTTGTGTTCCCAGCTGTGCCCCCACGGGGCCCAGGCGTTGACCCAGGGGCGGGAGTAAGAAACACCCATCTATGTGGACTGTCACCTCCCCCTCTGGCGACTTAGCTCTGCTTTCTGTCCTCCCCTGTTACACTCATACTTGTTGCTCCATTTCCTCGCCCCACCCACTCCCCCGATTCTCTCCCCTGCTCTTCTGCAGGCTCTGAACTCGGCTTTAGTGTTGTATCGCGAAATCCAGGCGCTGAGCTGGGAGCGTGCACAGTGGGGGAGGGCTGGTGCTTGGGCTTCTTCCTCCAGCATCTGGGGTCGGGCAGGAGGTCGGTGCTGCACTGAGCGAGACCCGAGCACCTGCTCATTCCCTGCATCTGTCTCCTCACAGGTTCTGCCAGAAGAAGAGCCCTGGGGCTGTGCGGGCCCTGCTTCCAGAGGAGACCCCAGCAGCTGTATGTGGGGAGGGCCCGGGGTTTGCAGGCCGCACAGGTGCACGGGTGTGCCCTCTGCAGTCTGAAGCGGCTGGGAGTGGGGGGTGCATCCTGGACTTGGGCTCCCTCGGTTGCACCTGCCCCTCCCCGGCGCTGACCCTGCAGTCTTCCGTGTTGTAGGTGCTAAGCAGTGCGGAGAACATTGCCGTGGGGCTGGCCACAGAGAAAGCCTGCACTTGGTTGTCGGCCAACATCACAGGTGAGGTCCATACGGGGAACAGCCCAACCGAGGTTTCAGAGGCAGTTGGGGGAGGGGGCACCCAGCGAGCTGGAAATGGTGAAGGGCATGGGTGGTGTGGTGAGCCCCCGCGGGCACCTCGTGACCCTCTCGTCTTCTCCCTCTGCCCCACAGCGCTGATTAGGAGGGAGGTGAAAGCGGCCGTGAGTCGCATACTTCGAGCCCAGGGTCCTGAGCCAGCTGTCCGGGGGGAGCGGAGGGGCTGCTCCCGCGCCTGTGAGCACCACGCTCCCCTCCCCTCCCACCTCATCTCCGAGATCAAAGTACACAGCTACCCTACTCCCCTTGGCTACCCTCCTCCTCCTCCCTGCTCTGTTCCTGGTTCCTTCATTCTCACATCAGCGCCAGTGTTTGTGTAGGAGCTTTCTGTGTTTCCCAGCTACTTCCTGTTTCATCACTGAATGGGATTAAGTGGGCAGGGCGGAATCTCGTGGCTCTCCTGGGTGTTCGTGCTTTGGTTGTCACCTAAAAGGACAGGGTGGGTAAATCGGGCCTAAGTGCCTGTTACCCAGGAGCTGATGGGAGCAGCTCTACCACAATAGAACAGTCTCCAAGGGGGCAGTCACCAGGCCCTGACTGTGAACCTCTCAGTATGGAAGGTGATGCTTGCCCAGTTTTGGGCAGTAAGAATACACTACCAGTTCTCCTAACTTGGTTTAAAAAATACAGAGACTGGAGCAGGGGTCAGCAGCTAGCCTGTGGGCCAGATTGTGCCCACTACTTGTTTTAGTAAATAAAATTTTATTGGCACACAGCAATGTCCATTACTTGACAAACTGTGGCTGCTTTTGCATTACAACAGCCAAGGTGAGTAGCTAGGACAGAGACCTATGGCCCTCAAAGCACAGAAGATTCACCATCTTACCCTAGTCTGGAAATAAGGATGTGAAACAAGGACTAAGAAGCAATGACTAGCAATGGCAACTATATAGGAGGGAGAGGAAAAGGCTCATGGCCGTTAGATGCTGGTTCGCAACATGCAGAGGACTTGTGCGTGGAAAACTAAACGAAGCAGGAGGGATAGACAATATGAAGACTTGGGGCAGGTGCCTGCCTAGGAGTTGATAGGAGTCCTGTCCCAGGCAAACGCTGTCCCTCAGCTGACCTGCGCCATCTGTGCCCACTTCGGTTGTCCGTGTGGTTGCTCCTCCTGGTGTGCTGTCCTGCCCCAGCCCCAGGTCTGTGGGTGCCGTGCCCAGCCGCCTCACCACCTGGGGCACTGCTTACCCCCTTCCTTTTCCCTCTCTTCACTGCCAAGCCCTGCCCCATCTGACTCCTCTGTGGCCCCCTTGGCCCAGCTTGGTGTGAGGCCTCGCCCTGCTCCCACAGGATGTGCTCTCCCTGGCCGCGGGGCCCCGGGACCCTGAGGAGGGCGTTCCCCCAGAGCATCTGGAGCAGCTCCTAGGCCAGCTGGGGCAGACCCTGCAGTGTCGCCAGGTAAGACGAGGCATTTGCCACGTGAAGGCTGTTTGCGCACGCCCTTGCCTCAGAAGCAGAGCCCTGGCTGGCTCGGCCAGTCCTGACAGCGGTAAGGACGCTGCTAATTCTAGGGTCTCCTCTTTTTCCCCACAGTTCCTGTGTCCACCCGCTGAGCAGCATCTGGCCAAGTGCTCGGTGGAGCTGGCTTCCCTCCTTGGTACGGCTGCTTTCTCAGATCGCTCTCTTGCCAGGTCCCACATCTCAGGGCCGAGTACAAGTAAGATTAGAAACGCCTTCTTCCGCTCCCATTTCTTACAGCTTGACTTTCCTCTCTTCCCATAGTGGCAGATAAAATTCCCATCCTGGGGCCGCCGGCGCAGCGCAGGCTGGAGAGAGGGCAGGCCCGAAGGCTCCTACACATGCTGCTGTCCCTGTGGAAGGAGGACTTTCAGGCGCCCGTTCCCCTGCGACTCCTGCTGAGCCCGAGAAACGTGGGGCTTCTGGCAGACACAAGGCCGAGGGAGGTGAGTCAGAGGAAGGCCTGGGGAGGCATCCGCGCCCGCAGCCCCCTGCCCGATCTTGTACTCCCCCGTTCTGTTCCCGTGCTGAAGTGGGCTCCACTCCACTTCTCCCTGAGCTCATGGGCCGGGCCTCTTAGCAGCGGGGACTTGTGCTTTGTGCGTCTTGCAGTGGGATCTGCTGCTCTTCTTGCTCCGGGAGCTGGTGGAGAAGGGGCTGATGGGCCGGATGGAGATAGAGGCCTGCTTAGGCAGCCTCCGTGCTGCCCAGTGGCCAGAGGTAAGGAGTCCTCTTCTTGTCTTACATGGAGGGAGAACCAGTGTCGTGTATCCCATGTGTCCTGAAAGGGACTTTTGTCCAGGGTTTTAAAACCACCCTGAACTTGTCTTTGGCCTCCTTCAGCTGAGTAGCTGTGTATGAGGGGATTTTAGAAAGCTTGTGGAAAAATGAAATTAAAGGTAAGTTTATTTCGGGGCCAAAGTTTTTTGAACTCCATGTAGTTTCTTCATCATACACATTTTCTACGCCTCTTTGAAGGCCCTCAAAGGAATCTCAGGGAAGAAAGGGAGAGGGAAGCAGGCAGTGAATCGAAGGCAGCATGGCATTGTGTGAGATTTTTTTTTAAAAGACTTATTTGAGAGAGGCAGAGCCAGAGAAAGAGGGAGGTCTTCCATCCAGTGGTTCACTCCCCAAATGACCGCAACTCCAGAGCCAGGAGCCATGCTCCACTGCTTTCCCAGGTGCATGAGCAAAGAGCTGGGTTGGAAGTAGAAAAGCCAGGACTCAAGCCATTGTTCATATGGGATGCTGGCGCTGCAAACAGCCGTTTAAGCAGCTGTGCCACAGTACCAATCCCTAGGGACTGAGCTTTACTAGTGCAGGATATGTCTGCCATCTCAGAAACTCTTTCTACTTATTTCAGGACTTCTCTGAAGAATTAGCAACGCTGTTCAATCTGTTTCTCACTGAGCCCCCCTTGCCAGAACCCCAGCTGCGAGCGTGTGAGCTGGTGCAGCCAAACCGGGGGACTGTGCTGGCCCAGAGCTAGGGCTGGGCAGCGGCCCCGCTGGGCGTCTCATCAGAACCCTGAGCCCTGCCTGCCTGCGCCTCAGGAGGAAGCCGAAGAGCCCACTGCTGCCCCTCGCTGCGGTGGGAGGAGCTGGGTCTGGAACAGACCTGCTCAGGTGGAAGGGCTGCGTGGCATCCCACCGACGGCGAGCTCACCACCCGAATCCTGGAGGCAGGAGAGGCCAGGTGGTTCAACGTGGTGGTGGAAAAGCCTCGAGACTTGTCTGGGAGCAGAAGAGCGGGCGTTGATCACGTGGACGTGGAGTAGCCAGACGTGAGAGGGCTTGTGAGACAGGCTTCTAGCCTCACTTGCTGCTGTGCTAGCACCTCTTACAACATGTGGCTCTGGACCATGAAAGCGGCAGGACTTTGCTTCACTTGAAAACGAAAGCACGATCTTGGGAATCTGCATTTCCCTGTCGCCGGGAACTGAGAATGCACAGCAGGTAAGGGAGGACCCACCTGGCAGAGGCCTGGCTTTGCCCTCTGTCTTCTGCCTGGGTGTGGGCAGTAACTCTAGACCCTGTCTCCTCCCAAGGACCAAGGAAGGGGCAAAACGGGACAGTTTTTAAATACAAGCTGTTTTCTTTCACGGGGCTGATTCTAGTCATTTCCGCCTTTGCCCTTTAGAAGGCTGCAGTCTCAGGTGGCTGCTGGGTTGCCAGCTGTACAGGTGCCTTGCCGGTTAGGACGCCAGCCCCAGGCCCGGGAAACTGCTTGCTTTCCATTTGCTGCCCATCGCATTGGCAGCTCTCGTCAGGGCTGGGGTGTCCTTTCTGGCTGACGACTTGTCTCAGAACTAAAGCATTCTACTTCTCTATAAGCGAACCACTGATTTTGACTAAGCATTAAACATGTCATTGAGTTCATTTCTGTAAAAATTTTTCTGTTTGAGGGATATGTAAGGAGTAGGCAGTTTAGGGAAGTACATTATTCAGTGAAGCTGCCAGCGACCCAGCAGGGTTAAGACTCTGGGCTTATGGGCATCCACTTGTGTGGTCCTAACAAAGCCAGGTGATCCCATTGGTGCACAAAGTATAACTTTTCAAAGGCTTTTATCTTCCTCTTTTAAATGCAATTTAATGCCTAGGAGTCAAAATGACTAAGAAATGTTTTCTGTCTCTAGGCCCAGAGACCAGCATTAGGTGTGGTTGAACCACAGCACAGGCCCAGCAAGCTGCGAGCTCATGGCTACTTCTTGGCATCTTCTGCAGGAAAGCCTGCAGCGCCTCAGGACACTGAGGTGAAAGGTTGGGCCATACACAGGCCTGGTGCTTGGCCTCCTGGGTTAAAACCAAGCTCTTGGGAAAGGAAATAGAAATTTAACATGGCCCCTACAAAGGAGATTTCCTGGGGCCTGTGTGAGCCTTAAAGGCCTACTCTGTGGATTAAGCAGACAGGCAGCTAATTAAGTGCAAACTCACCAGCTTGCTTTCCATGGATCTGTGCTGTACAGATTATGTTAACCCAGAAGTCTTCAGTGTAGTCCCCAGAGCGGCAGCCTTGGGCTTACCTGGAACTTTTAAAAATACTTGCGCTTCTTTCTACACATCTACTCAGTCCGCAGTTTTGGGGGAGCAGCCTGAGATGTAACGAAGTCTTTAGGCGATTCTCATGCAGGCTAAACTGAGAGCTGCCCATCTAGAAGGAAATCTGACTTCACTTGTGCATTTTATTACAAGATCATCCTCAATTGCTAGCCTCAGTATCTACGGGGAATCTGTTCCAGGACATCTGCATATACCAAAGCCCACACATAACCTAGACACAGCCTCCCGAATACTTTGAAGTCTGGAGGTTACTTACATTATAAACCAATAGAATGTAAATGCCATGTGTAGCTGTTACACTAAATTGTTTAGGGAATGACTATTTTTTCATATTTTTTTTGAATAACAAAGAGCAAGCATCCATCTGTTGGTGCTCTTCCCAAATGCCCACAATAACCTGAGCCAATTCAATCCAAGTCCCCCCTGTGGATGGCGGGGGCCATTGCTTAGGCCATCACCTCCCAGGTGCACATTAGCAGGGAGGGAGAGCAGCAGGACCCAGACCCAGGGATGCAGCTGTCTTCAGTGCATCAGCAGCAGTTCGCCCCACTTTTTTTTTTTTTTTTTTTTGACAGGCAGAGTGGACAGAGAGAGAGACAGAGAGAAAGGTCTTCCTTTGCTGTTGGTTCACCCTCCAATGGCTGGCGCGCTGCAGCCAGCACACCGCGCTGATCCGATGGCAGGAGCCAGGTACTTCTCCTGGTCTCCCATAGGGTGCAGGGCCCAAGCACTTGGGCCATCCTCCACTGCACTCCCTGGCCACAGCAGAGAGCTGGCCTGGAAGAGAGGCAACCGGGACAGAATCCGGCGCCCTGACCGGGACTAGAACCCGGTGTGCCAGCGCCGCAAGGCGGAGGATTAGCCTAATGAGCCGCAGTGCTGGCATTCGCCCCACTTTCAAATACTTCCCATCTTCAGCTGAGGCGAAGCCCGTGGATACGGAGGGCCGACTCTGTTCTTCATGATACTCTCAGTTGGGCTGGTGTGGGCTTGTCTAGGAAGCGGATAAAGCCAGCACTTAGTTATCCACCCATCCAGATTCCCATGACTGGCTCTGCCTCAGATACTCCCTGGTGCTGTGGTCACAGTTACGTGTGGCAGTGACTACTCTGGAATCCTCCCTTCTGTTCGGATTTGGATTAAAGTTGAGCAACTAATCTGGTTGCTAATGACCATGCAGAGCAGTGCCAAGGCGCATGGGCAGAACCTACATGTCAGCTCAATACAGCAGCCTGAAACTGGGCCACGAGCAGGCCCTGCCATGACCAGCAGGCTGCGTTCCACCCTGCTTCAGTGACTTGCTTGAGCATCCCAGGATCGTCTTCACTGAGTCAAATACACACACAGGACTTTTAATTCACAGGTGTTCTGACCTCTCTGGTCAACAGTCTTAGAGATTTACAGGAACAGAGGTGGGAGTACATAAGTAGGGTGTCAAGTGTTATTTAAAAAAGTCAAATTAATCAGGAAAGTACTTATAAACATTTAAAAACAATTTGTAAAATCTTCAACCAATAATATATAAATAACCTGAGGTAAGAGGGAAAAATAAAACCCTGACAACATTTTTAGAAAAGTAAAACTTTGCTGCAATATCTAGATACCTCTTAATTCCCAGTTACCCTCATCCAGCAAAGGTTCTGGGCACGAACTAAGGATGGGGCTCTCCCACCTTTACTGCTTCCGAGGAAACATCAGAATAGTGGGCCTCCGCCGAGCCTGGGCTAAGGTTCAAGAACACGGACTGCACTCTCATCCCACCTGGCGTCCGCGGGCCAGGAGCAGGGCGCCGCGCACAGCTTCCTCCTAAGCACCGGCTCACTGCTCACTGCCTCAGGAGTTCCCTTCTCGCTCATCTTCAAAGAGTAATGTCTCACTTCTAGAATTCCTCTTGCCTTGTCAGCGACCAGCAGCTGCTGTCTCGCCCGTCCTGGGAGAGCCCGCCCCAGCCCCCCGACGTGTCGCTCCTGCCCCAGCAGTCTCCCGGGAGTCAGCTCGCGAGTGACTGCCCCGTCACGGGGCACAGCTCGACACTCCTGACCGATGCAAAACCCAAAAATTCTCTTCTGGGAGTCAAAGGAAGAGCTGGGTAAACAAAAACGAACAGAAGGCATTTTGTAAACATCAACAGGGAGAAAAGATTCTGAATCCGTGTTCTGGTTTGTGCAGCTATTTTTAAAGCCCTTGTAGTCTGTTTCGCTGTTTTCTGGGACGGAGCTGATGCAGGAGGCAGATTCGGAGCAGAGTCTTGGCCGAAGGCTGCTGGCCTCGCGATGGGCTGAGGGCTGGGCCGGAGGGAGGAAGCGCCTGGCCAGCGCACCGCGGTCTCCGCCTGCTGCCCCTGCTCCCTCCTGCGGTCTGAGCAGCTTGTCTGGCACGGAGATAAAGGTGCGAAGGCCAGCCGGCGAGCCGAGCTTCATTCACTGCGGACAGCCGGGGCAGGGCTTGGGCCGCTCGCTCTGCCGGGGCGCCAGCTAGGACCAAGCACTGCCTGGGCCCTGCTGCCACCCCTGGGCTGGCGCCGTCTGCCCGGCCAGCCGCGGCCACTCGCACTGGCTCCTGCGTCAGGGCATGGAAAGTAAGCAGCAGCTGCCGCGGCGTCTGCAGCACCACCTGGCCAGGGAGATGCTAACTGCCCAGGAAGGAAGCCAGTCTGGCTATGACCAGTGGCTGCTGTTTGATGAAGGAGCTCAGCAGCTGAGGCGGGAAGCCCGGAGCCCCAAGTTCCACCTGGAAGCAGAGAGAGAGGAGCTGAAGGCGCAGAGCGACTTAGAGGGTCAGGGCACGCTTCCGCCCCAGGAGCCGCCTGGGCAGTGGTGAGGAGGATCTGCCCTCCAGATCCCAGCACTGGCTTTTACTGCCCGCAGACAAAGTTCAAGTCCGGACTGTGGAGAGCTGAGCCTGTGGGCCATCCTGTTACCTTGCCACCAGGGACCCTGGGATCAGCCACGGCTGCAGGTCACTACGACTCTGGTAGGGGCAGCTTCAGCTTTCAGATCCTCCCCCTGACTCCTGTTCTCGGCAGCCCAAGAAGCACCCTGGACTCTCGAGCTCTTGGCCACAGGGCTGGGCACTGAAGGATGCTGGCCAGCTGGGCAGAATGTCCCGGGTGGGCGTGGGGGTCAAAGGTGAGCTGTGAGGTTGGAGCAAGGAGTTCATCACCTGGGCCAAATAGACGACTCTGGTGACACCCTTCCCTTGCACGGTGCCAGGCTGCAGGATCCAGGCGCTGGGTAGTATTTCTCCTCGCACCATCTTTTTGCTGGGCCTTGGCATGGAGGCGTCATATACTGACTGAGCTGCCATGACACACAGGGGCCCCTGGGGACAGACACACACGTGAGTTCTGCCCAGGTAATGCAGACATCCCAGGAAGCGGCTCCACTGCAAGTCAGCATGGCAGAAGGCAGCCCCTCCCCCAGAGGACCGGAAGCCACAGGCAGCTTCTCCCCACACGTGCGCCCAAGTTCTTCCCACGACCGCTTTACCACCACCAAGGCAGGCACCTCTTTGGCTTCCACACAGACACAGCAGAAGTCCCGCGGCTGCTTCAACGCACACGTCGTCGTGTTGCACACCAAGTACACTGGGGAGGAGGGGGTGGGGGTGGGGGCTGTGAGCAAACCCAGCTCTAAATCCTTCCCAGGCCAGCAGCAGCCCCAGCACCCCATCATTCCACAGTTCGACACCCAACTGGACAGACCTAGGCTGAGCTCCCCCACAGCCCCGGCCACCCCTAGAAGCCTGGCGCCTCCGGGCTCACCTAGGTTGATGCTGTTGGTCACTCGCTGAAACAGCCTTGCTGTCTGGATGGGCTTGTGAAACAGGGGCCAAAGCGTAGGGTCACTCACCGCTGCCCACACGTGCGACAGCGGCTGGGACACCACACCTGCCCCCAGGAAGCCATGCCGCGTGGAAGAAAACACCTTGTAGTACAGCTGCACCTCCTGCTCCTCACCCTGGTAGCTGAGGCAAACACCAAGGACAGGAGAGAGGTCAAAACTGGCTCCAGGGTCGCCACGGGGGACTTGGGGACTCAGAA